ATTCAGATATTACATATAGTTTACATATTTCCTATTTTTGCCACCCTTAATAAACCAACAGAATCTTTATCAATGTTAAATACCAGTTTTGTGTAAATACAATGCACTGTAATTTTCTTTTTTCTTTTTTCTTTTTTTTTTTTTTTGAGACAGTCTCGCTCTGTCATCCAGGCTGGAGTGCAGTGGCAGGATCTCGGCTCACTGCAACTTCCATCTCCCAGGTTCAAGTGATTCTCCCGCCTCAGCCTCCCAAGTAGCTGGGATTACAAGCACTTGCCACCACACCAGGCTAATTTTTGTATTTTTAGTAGAGATGGGTTTTCACCTTGTCGGTCAGGCTGGTCTTGAACTCCTGACCTCGTGATCCACCCACCTCGGCCTCCCAAAGTGCTGGGTTTACAGGCGTGAGCCACCGAGCCCGGCCAATGCTGTTTCTTTGTTTAGGGTTGGGTTCGTTTTGAGTAGTTGGCTGTTTTGTTTGTTTGTTATATTATTCTTTCTTTTTCTTCTCACCGTCTTATACAGAATCCAGTTTTCTTTGCCCACATATTGAGTCTTTTTCACTACCTAGAGACCAAAATGTCTTTTACTTAGTCTCTTTCATTGATTGAGATTTTAATATTCTTCTGTGATCAGTATAGTATATATAAAATAGGATGCATTCAATATGATATTCTATATTTTCCTACATAGTTTGTCTTAAGTATTCTCTGTCCTAGCTAGGTAAATTGGAGCAGTTTGTATGCAACCTCTCTGAACTTTCTTCATTGATTAAGGAAGGATAAGATTTACTTGGCAGGTCTGTTGAAAATATTAGAGGGGACTCATGCCAAGTGCCCAGTGCATTGGCCAGCATATGCTTACTGTATCATTATTATAGTAGTTTAGGGTAGTGATGGTGAGGGCAATGGAGTGATGAGGATAGTGGTTGGAACATGGTCTTCACAATTGCCTTATTGGTCATGGCCTAAGAGTGTCTCCTACTAACAAACCCAAATGTAACTTTGTCCCTGTTATGGAACATTTAGGTTGTTTTTCATGTTTGCCCGTTATAAATCATGTCTCACTAAACATTTTCCTTCATACAGTTTTATTCTTCTTTTGAATGTAACATTTGGATGCGTTCCTAGGAGTAAAATTACAGAGTGAAGGGATATGTACATTCATAAAACTCTCAATAAATAAATATTGCCTGATTGCTTTTCACAAGGGTGCTATGAATTTATACTCCCACCAAAATCAAGAGAATGGCTATTTATAGATGCTTTCAGAGCCTTAGCTTATCTTGTTTCCTGTTTGAATTTTATTACATAAATTTCCCTTTACAACTATCTCACACACACACACACACACACACACACACACACACACACGCGTACTCTTTTGTGGGGCCTTGGGGGCAAAGATGGAATGAAACTATCATTTATCACATTATTTTGATAGGAACCTGTTGTTAAGTTTCAGACGTTTACTTCTGATGATGCAGAAGGGAATTTTAATTAGGATGTGGCATTAAATAAGATCAGTTTGCATATTGGGAATGATATTCTTTTTCAGTTATCTTTCGGTCATCTGATCAGATCAAGGAGGAAGTCTCAGCTTGGTGCTAACACCCCTTTAACACTGCTCTAGCCCCTTTTTACCTGTAAAATGAAGAACTTTCCATAGGCAACAGTTTTGAGCTCAAATGTGATAGTGTCATTAGGTCTCCAGCAAGTTTATTTTTATGTTTTCCTTCTTTTTATGTAAAGTGATGCTAATGTTTTATTTAAAATGGTACAAAGTTTTCATTTTGAACACATTTAATGAAAAAGATGAGTTACACATAGAGCAAACACCCTGACAGTGTCACTCCAGTGACTGAACTTGGGACATGCTACTTGGAGAGTGCATTCCAACAGTTGCCCCACTAATCATAATAATAGCCCGTGTTCTTTGACAATACACTGAATACGAGTCTCCATAATGCCTGACATAGTTTGGGACTTTGTAATTGTCCCTTTATCCCTATTCATTTGTGAATGTAAGGATCTTGCAGTGACCCATGAAGAGAGTTGCTTTTTATTTTTTCATTTTGTAAATTTTTTTGAAGACTCTTACAAAGTATAATCATTTTGAAAATGCCTATCCATTACCCTAGAGTAAAATTCCCTATTATTGGGAGAGTATCTAAAAAAATATTCAAGGGATACGAGTGCAGGTTTCTTCCATGCACACATTGTGTAGTGGGGAAGAGTGGCCTTTTAATGAACGCATCCCCAAAGAGCGAACGTTGTACCCAACAGGTGATGTTTTCAGCTCTCGCCCTCCTCCCACCTTCCCACTTTCTGAAGACCCCAGTGTCTCTTATTCCACTCTGCATGTTCACAAGTACCCATTGTTGAGCTCCTACTCAGAAGTGAGAATGTGCGGCATTTTTCTGTTTGAGTTACTTCACTTTGGATAATGTCTTCCTCCTTCATCCATGTTGCTGCAAAATACATGATTTTATTCTTTTTTTTTATGTTTGAGTAGTATTCTATGGCTTGTGTGTGTGTGTATATGTGTGTGTGTGTATGTGTATATGTGTGTATGTATCCTTATATAAATATATATTATATATATATCCCACATTTATATATAAATGTATCTATTTGTGTGTATATATTTATGTATACATAATATATATACATATATACATATATGCACATTTATATATATTATATACAAATATATAATATATAAATATCCCACATTTGTATCTATATTTATTTATATAAATATATATTTATGTTTATATAAATGTGGGATATATATATTATATATCTATAAATGTGGGATATATGTTATATATATTTATTTAAGAATATATATACACATATACGTATACACACACATATATATATCCCACATTTTCTTTTTTTGAGACTGAGTTTCGCTCTTATTGCCCAGGCTGGAGTGCAATGGCGCGATCTCGGCTCAGTGCAACCTCTGACTCCTGGGTTCAAGCGATTCTCCTGCCTCAGCCTCCTGAGTAGCTGGGATTGCAGGGATTACCAGCATGTGCCACCACGCCTGGCTAATTTTGTATTTTTAGTAGAGATAGGGTTTCTTCATGTTCATCAGGCTGGTCTCAAACTCCCAACCTCAGGTTATCAGCCCACCTCAGCCTCCCAAAGGGCTGGGATTACAGGCATGAGCCACTGCGCCTGGTCCCACATTTTTTTTATCCAGTCTTCTGTTGATGGACACTTAAGTTCAATCCATGTCTTTGCTATTGTGAATAGTGCTATGATGAACACACATGTGCAGGTATTGTTTTGATATAACGATTCCTTTTCCTTTGTGTATATACCCAGTAGTGGGATTGCTGGGTTGAATGATAGTTCTATTTTCAGTTCTTTGAGAAATCATCATACTGTTTTTCAGAGTTTGTACTAATTTACACTCCCACCAACAGTATATAAGCATTCTCTTTTCTCTGCAGCCTCACCAATATTTGTTGTTTAAGACTTTTTAATCATAACCATTCTGACTGGTGTAAGATGATATCGCATTGTGGTTTTAATTTGCATTTCTCTGAAGATTAGTGATATTGAGCATTTTTCATATGTCTATTGGCCTGTCGTATGTGTCCTTTTGAAGAATGTCTGTTCATGTTGTTTGCCCTACTTTTTTTTGTTTGTTTTGAGTTGGAGTCTCGTTCTGTTGCCCAGACTGGAGTGTAGTGGTATAATCTTGGCTCACTGCAATGTCCACCTCCTGGGTTCAAGCAATTCTCCTGCCTCAGCCTCCCAAGTAGCTGAGACTGCAGGTGCCTGCCACCATGCCTGGCTAATTTTTGTATTTTTAGTTGAGACTGGGTTTCATCATGTTGGCCACGCTGGTCTCAAACTCCTTGCCTCAGGAGATCAGCCTGCCTTGACCTCCCAAAGTGCTGGGATTACAGGTGTGAGCCACTGCGCCTGGCCTGCCCACTTTTAAATGGGGTCATTTTTGCTGTTTGAATTCCTTGTAAATTCTGGATAATAGTCCTTTGTTGGATGCATACTTTACAAATATTTTTCCCATTCTCTAGGTCATCTGCTTACTCTGTTGATTGCTTCTTTTGCTGCACAGAAACTTTTTAGTTTAATTAAGTTCGAATTGTCCTTTTTTTTTTTTTTTTTTTCTTTTTTCTGGTAATGTTTGCTTTTGAGGACTAGGCCATAAATTCTTTGTCAAGGCCAATGTCTAGAAGAGTTTTTCCTATGGTTTCTTTTAGGATTTTTATAGTTTCAGATCTTATGTTGAAGTCTTTAATTCATCTTGTGTTCATTGTATATGGTGAAAGCTATGGGTCCAATTTCACTCTTAGGTATATGATTATCCAATTTTCCATATGGGTGTTTAGCCCAACACCATTTATTGAATGGAGTGTCATTTCCCTATCACATATTTTTGCTGACTTTGTTGAAGATCAGTTGGTTGTAGGTATGTGGTTTTATTTCTGGATTCTCTGTTCTGTTCCATTAATCTAGGTTTATACCAGTACCATCCTGTTTTGGTTACTATAGCCTTGTAGTATAATTTGAAGTTAGGCAATATGATGCATCTAACTTTGTTCTTTTCACTTAGGATTTGTTGTAAAACCAATTCTTTATGGACTATAAATCAAATAAAATTTTATATCTAAGCAAGTCCTCCGGATTCCTGACCAGGCAAGTAACCCAGTAGCTTGGCAGGTTAAGAACAGTAATATGCAAACAGTGAGGGATGCATAAATCAAGACTGTCATTGTGAATAGAACGATTTGGAAGTTGGGGGTTCAAATAGCTTCATGATAGTTACAGTGAATAACAATGTCAGCTTTAGTATTATTCTAATATTGTACTTGGGTAATGCTAATAGGGTTTGATGGAATACAATGAACACGTTCCAAACAGCTGTATGCTTTCCCAACAAAGGAACTCTATCTCAGAGCAGACTGATATATCATTTCAATGGGAGGTTTTAATCAATCCTTTTGTTTTCCCTTTTAGGATATATTTAAATTTGCAAGAACTTCTCCTGTCCCAAGACAAAAGAGGTCCATTGTGGTATCTCCCATTTTAATTCCAGAGAATCAGAGACAGCCTTTCCCAAGAGATGTTGGCAAGGTAAGTCAGGCAAAAAACAAATTACAAAAACGTGTTTTTTATGAAAAGATGAGCACACAGGGAGCAGACTGAGTATGACTGTCTTGGTGACAAGCTGGAATTAGTCTTCATCCCTCTATGATAAGAGACCAAATGGTTTTGTCATAAAAAGAATGTTGGAAGATCATTCATACACAAAAGAGGAAATTTGAAAGAACCAATAACTGTTTTGAATATTATGGAGATCAACATGGTAGATGATGTTGAAATTACGTAGGAAGATGTCATTGGTTGAGAAATAAGGCTCATTGTTTTTATAGATTATATTCAGGTGATCACCAGATAGGGCCCCCTAGGATGGCAGTATGTTGATATGTGGCCTTCATTGAGATCCTCCTTTTCAAATATCTAGGTCCAAGCATATCACTGGGTTAGTTTTCCAAAAACTAAACCTGATCAAGGGAGTAAAATCATCCTAACCAGATCCAGAACCAGATGTGCAAAACACTGTCCCATGAATCAGAGCAATAGCTTTTCCAGGAAGAAATAGTCACCGTTAAATGTGCCAAAATACTGATACTGCCTCATCAATACATTCTCCCCTCTTTAAGAGAATCAACATGGAGAATCAAATTTTGAGCAGTTTGTACTTTTTGGTTGTTAGAAACAAGTGCTCGGTGTCACAAAGAAGAACCAGCACTCAGGCAAAGAGTTTTCTCAGCAAGGCAATTTACTTCTACAGAAGGGTGCTCCTCGCACTTCTGGCCACTGAGAGAGCACACCAAACAAAAGAGGGAAGGGGGATTTATCCCTAACACGGTTAGTCCCTGCTTCTGTGTCCTGTCCCCATTGGCTGGAGTTGGACCGCACAATCTAAACTGACCTGATTGGTTACTGTTTAAAATTGAATATGGCTAATTAGGCAGGAAGGGAGAGGCTGTCCGTTGTGGTACAAGGCATGTTTGGGCATGTCAGGGCACAGCAAAGGCGGGAAGGGTAGTTTCAGTGGGAAGAGCTGTTTCGGCAGGAGTGGCAGTTTACAGAATGAGTAGCCAGGAGTAAAGAGGAGTCTTTCCAAATGAGGAAGAGATATGAGTTACAGATTGGGACTATCAGGAGAAGTTGTTTACAGAGCAGGTAACTTAGAAGAAGGGACAAGGAAGTTGATCTTGAAAACAAAGAAGAAGGGAATCAGAAATTAAACGTTTGAAGAGGAACTTACTGTATCAGACATTGGTGAATCTGGAATTTGAAAAATAGTGGTTAGTTAAATGAATGATCTTAATGGCATTTGCTTTTGAACTGCTAGTTTATTAAATACACAGTACATGTTATATGCTGGACTCTAAACTTGGGGCTGGGTGTGAAGAAGCAGATAATAGAGCTAACATGCTAGTGGGAAGACAGAAAGAAGAACATTGCAGAGTATGACAAATGCTGTGAAAATCAGAAACAGGAAGATGAGAAAAAAAGAGCAAATGGCAGGATGAAGGAGTAGAGGGAGGAGGGAATCTTTACACAGATGACTGTGATGACTGGTTGAAGGTATTGATGTTTGAGGGGAAACTGGAAGGATGAGAAAGGAACAGTCATAGGAATATCTGGGTGAACAGCATCTTTGGCAGAGGTAAGTTTACATGCAAAGGCCTGAAGGTGGGACAGAATAGCATGTAGTGGAGTTGCAACATGCCTGGGTGGCTGCAAGAGAGTGAGCAAGGATGGCAGTGGTGAGAGTGAAGTCAGAGAGGCCAGCCTGCCCTTGGATGAGGAGTTGGGGTTTCATCGTGCATGCAGCAGGGGACCACTGGAAGATTTCCCCAGGAGACTGCATGTTTTGAAAGATCCTCCTGGCTGCCTTGTAGAGAATGATTAGTGGTAGCAGAGCGGTAGAGAGGAGTGGAAGCAAAGAGACCCACTAAGAGGGGAGTTTGGTGGTGATCTGGAGAAAGGCGACTTGGACTATTAAAAATTAGTATTGGACAGGCACGGTGGTTCACGCCCGTAATCCCAGCATGTTGGGAGGCTGAGGCAGGAGAATCAACCAAGGTCAGGAGTTCAAGACCATGCTGGCCAACATGGCGAAACCCCGTCTCAACTAAAAATACAAAAATTAGCCAGCGTAGTGGCATGCTTGTAATCCCAGCTACTTGGGAAGCTGAGACAAGAGAACCACTTGAACCCAAGAGGTAGAGGTTACAGTGAGCCGGGATCATACCACTATACTCCAGCCTGGGCGGCAGAGTGAGACTCTGTGTCAAACAAACAAACAAAAAAATCGATCTTTATTGCACATTGAAAGAAGTGATAATCCAGTATCCTGGTAACCACTATATTTATCATTTTAAACTCCCACTGTGCCAAAGATGCCTTTCTCTAAGCAAAAATCTTTTCAAGAGTCTGGGATATGATATAAAGGGAAGCAGAGCTGCTCCAAAGGGATAGCCCTGTTCCCTTGGGCAGCCCTAGCCACTGTGATGATCCTTTTCTAGACAGGTTTCCTGGGAGCCCAAGATGCCAGGTGCCAAGGGACCCGAGTCCCCACTTCTTCAAAGCTCTTCCCAGTTTCTGACACTCACGATGCATTCCAGTGTTTCAGTTTTCTTTTAGATGATCCTGGGCTTCTCAACTCTCAGCATGCATCACAATCAGCAGAGACACTTAAAATGCATATGTCAGGGCTCCACCCTCAGAGATTGATTCCACTGGGGTGGGGGTGAGGACCATGTGAGGATGTGTTAAATATCCCAGGTGATTCAGATATGTAGCCAGGGTGCAGGACTGCTGGTCTTAAGCAATCCTCCAAGATTGGTTGTGGACCAGCTACATAAGTATCCCCTGGAAGCTTGCTAGAAATGCATATCTTCATGTCCCACCCCAAAACCACTGAGCCGGAAACTCTGGGGTTAAAGCCAGGAATCCACGTTTTTACACAGCTTCTAGGTGATTCTGATGCACCCTCAAGTTTACAGAGGGCTGACCTGAAATATGGTTTTGTCCCCTGTCCACCACTAGTACACAATACCTTCAGTTGCAATTCCATTAATTAGTTATAGTAAGGACAATCACATTTCAGTTGCCTGGAAAATCCAAGTTTACACTGGTTATCCAAATCTGTCATGTCCAGATTTAGACTATACATTATGTAGCCATCCTATAGTTTCCTTCAATTACACACAATTTCCTCCTGGGTATATTTGGGTGGGTTTTCTCACAAGCCTCTTTTCTTGAGCTATTCAATGGGTTCATAAGCATGTAGCTAATTGGGAACTTTCTTTTGCAATTTTTTTTTTTTTTTTTTTTTTTACTTATTACGGGTTCAAAAGGCAATTTGGTTTCCAAACTGAGGACTCACCTCTTCTTTGCCCCTTATGTGTTGCCCATACTTGATCTTGACTTAGATTCTCTACAAGCAACTGCTTTTCTAAGCATGGTAGGCTACTAACTAGACAATGTGCAAGAGCCTTCGAAACCTCTAGATGTTTTTTGTAGAATTACTGCACTGCTTTGCAAAAACTATTTATTTGTCCATGCTTTATATGCCTTTGAAGGTACATATTTTCCTTTTTGTTCCTGCTTGTTTCTATTTATTTATATTACTCTTTATATCTGCTGTCTTATCCTCATCATCTCCACCACAGCTGACAAGCTGTGCTCTGCAGAGCTGTGGAAGAGGACGTAGGTGTCTTCAGTGAGTGCTGGGGAGGCGGCGAGAAGGGAAAGAAGACCACAGAGGCCGAGCTGTGGCCTCCAAACACCACCACACTCCCAAAAAATCTCTAAGTCAGGACACCTCTAATTGTGTAAATATTACTTATTAGTCTTCGGTATAGAATGCCATTTGAAGAAGAGGTTCTGCAGCTTTAAAAGCATAAAGACGTTTGTCTTACTTTGGCTTCCCCTAGAAGTGGACCCTGAGACAAGAATTCAAATGAAGGCAGTTTATTTAAGAGGTGGGGGAAATGTTCATAACAAAATAAGGGAGAGACACAGAAAAGGGAAGGCAGCTGGGAGAGAAACTTGTTTATGAAGCCAGCTACCCCTGTGGGTGACTGGATTGTAATCTCATGGGCTAACTTTAAAACATGATGTGGAATACACTGTCAGCATTAAAGCACCCCCAAGGGATGGCACTGGGATACTTTGACACCAACCGGGGTATTTCTACTCCTAGCAGCAATTGGCTGAGGACTGCTTCCAAGGGTGTAAATTCTCTAGCATATCAGGTCTGCGCTGCACTCTGTGCACTAACTCGACAGCCTGCTGAGGTTTGGAGGAGAACCTTAGACAAAAAGGATACTGTACAGCAGTCTCCAGTCTGCTGGTCTGCACTGAACAGGTGACACATAGGGGATGTGGACAGGGCACTAATCGCTTCAGCTTCCTTACCAAAACTAATATATCTATTTTTTTTGCATACTTCATTTCATCCTGTGCTTTTACCTCATTTCCTGCACTAGCTTTCTCACGTCCTGGGCTTTTGAAACCCCCTGTACTTGCCTTTCTCTCTCCATTAATAAGTAGTTCCTGCATCCCAGGAGGGAAAATCTCTGAAATTCAACCTAATTCATATCAACAAGCATATATTCAGCATCTGTTATTTATAAGGAACTGCTAGGGGCTGGGAATTTAATGGAGGAGAAAACAAACAGAATCATTGATCTTGTGGGATTACGAAAGAGATGACAATATCAGCGCATAGTCATTATTTGTCCAGCACTGTGCTAAGCACTTTTCATCTATTATGTTGAATTCTTATGATAACAACCACATGAGGATCATTTTCTAGCATGCCAATGAAGGTAATGAGACTCAAGGGTGGCGTAACCTGTCCAAAGCCACACAGCTAGTTCACAGCAGAACCAAGTTTTGTTTCTGCTTTTTGAGATTTCAAAGTCTGTGCTCTTAACCACCATACTCAGAAAATACTAAGCCCATTCTGAGAATGCTCTTCTATGGAATGAAATATCTTCACTGACAACTTCTCCTTTTAAAACAGCCTTAAAATTAAGTGCAATTCTTGG